AGGAACAACTTATCCTGAAGCTGTGAGAACAGCAGTGGAGCAGGACGCGGGAATGCAGCCTCGGGATGCGGGAATGGAGCTCGAGAGTAGCTCACCTTGTCCCCCAGTTTGAACAGATGAACCCACAATCTCAGGGTTTAATTACCAGGTGCTTCTCATAAATTGGGGACGACCACAGCAAAGAAAAGGCAAGGCCTGCTTTCTGTCCTTACAGTTAACGTCTCTGGTGCGTGTCTGCAGATGCAAATGACACCTCTCCTATCTCCTTCGTGTCTCAACCTCACTGAGTGAATCTCAGGAAGTGAAAGTTCTTTCATTGGCATTTTTTCACATCGCTCTTTGACCTGACATCAAACAGCTGATTCCTCTCCCAAGCCCAGCGGACGCCGTGGGGTGGAGGCTGAGCACAGCCAGGTCCTTTCTCCCAGGGGACCCCCGAATTCCTGTGGTGTCGTATTTTCCCAGGGCTTCGAGAGCCGCGTGGAGATCTTGTTTTTATGCTGCGCTGACCCAGGAAAGCTGGGCTGTATTTGGCGCTCGTCACCTGGCATGGACTCATGTTTACATAAAAAGGGGTGGATCTGCCAATCCTGTGACACATTGGATAAGCGCAGCGTCGGACCGAAAGTAGGAAAAGACACCGTATCATCGGTGACTCACTCGCCTGAGAGAGTCCCAGCTCCCTGTCCTGGGCCACCGACGCCACTTAGGGCTGCACTGTAGGTCCTAAGTTGATTTATATTATAAATTTGAATTTTCTTAATTTATTTCAGATTTTAGCCAGCGAACCTGTTGCCCATTGGACTGGCTAAAAGGTTAATATTGAAAATTGGAGGAGTCCATTTGTATAAAGCCGTGATAACTTTTAGAGAAAATCAGAAACCAAAAAAGTGTGCTTTTCAATTTGAAATTATGAAAACAGGGACAGTTCTGAAAAAATGACAGTGTGTCATCCACTCTGATTGGGTTAGAAGTTTACGTCTAAGTTGCCATTCGAAACAAGCCTCTCCTCCCTTGGAAACAGGCAAGTCGGTTATTTCTCTCCTATTAGGAGACGCAGCTGCCCCGTTGGAACAAGTTCGCACTGACTGGTTTCCTCCGTGAAGCTGCGTCCCTGCCCTGGCTGGGTTTGCTCAGTGGTTAGAGCATCGGCCTGAGGACTGAAGGGTCCTGGGTTCCTGTCAAGGGCACATACCTGGTTGCAGGCTCATCCCCAGCCCTGGTCGGGAGAGTGCCGGAGGCAACCAGTCCATGTGTCCTTCTCACATCGATGTTTCCCCCACACACACTCTCTCAAAAGCAATGGAAAAAATATCCTTGGTGAGGATTTAAAAAAAAAAAAAAAGCAGCTGTGTCCCGGAGTCGTCACCAGGAAGCAGTCTGAAGAGGCTTCCTTTTTGGGAATCAGAGTATCGCAGCCGTGCCCATCCTGTGCCCACTACATTTAAGGGTATTTGCTTTCTCCACAGCTCCGATGATAAAACGCCTGAATGTAATTGTATGCTGAGGAAATGGCCATGGAGTAGGGAGATAAAGAAGGTTTCTGTTAAATTAACCTGACGTCGGGGATAAAAGCGGATTAATGCAGCACATTCAAAAGACCTCAGTGGAAGAGGAAAACCTAGTTTTTGATGAAGAAATGTTCTGACGAAAGACCTTCAGACACCCTAAAATTAAATCCCTCTACCAGTGATCTTTTGGTGACATTGGCTCATTTTAGATGCTATTTCTAAGAAAGGCTCTTCTTTGTTCTCTTGAAAGTTACATTTAAATCCGAGGTAATGAGCTGGCCATTTCCAAGCATTTATGAGACTGTTACGTGGACCCGAGTTTGCAGTGGTAAATCAATTGCAAATTGAAATGAGAAAAAGGCAAATTAAATGATCGATCAAAGACTATTAGGCACATATTATATGACACACAGCAGTGAGAAAATGAATGCAGTGTAATTTTTAAAATGCCTTCTTATTACAATAATACCCAGGGACACTCAGAGCCTTCTTCGGGGCAGGCAGGTGTGTGGTGGAAATGATTTTAAATGTTCACTCGGCATCATTTCGGGTCTGCCCACCGCTTGACTGCTTGCAGGCCTCATAATAGTTATGGCACTAACTTATTTTAAAAGAACTCCATTTTAGAAATTTATTTTTTGTGTCCTCTTATAACCACCCCTGGCCATCTTGTAGGCATGTAACGGTTTTTTGTTTGTTTGTTTGTTGCATGTGTGGTTTTTGTTATTAATCCTCACCTGAGGATATTTTTTTATTGATTTTTAGAGAGAGAGGAAGGGAGAGAGAGAGAAACATGGATGTGAGAGAGACAGATCAATTGGTTGCCTCCTGCATAAGCCCCAACCGGGACCAAGGATCAAACCCAAGACCCTTTGGTGCACAGGCCCACACTCCAACCACTGAGCAACACTGGCCAGGTCTAGACATGCAACTTTGTAACTTGATGGCCAACCACACTTATTTCCTTGAGGTAAATTTCTAGAAGTTGCTGGAAATTGTGGGCCAAGTGCTGTGCTGTGTCTGTCTGGGCAGTAACATTGTATTCATTCACTGTGCTGTGTCTGTCTGGCAGTAACATTGTATTCATTCACTGTGCTGTGTGTGTCTGGGCAGTAACATTGTATTCATTCACTACATCCTAGCAGGAGCCATCCCTGCGCCCCGCACCCTCCCTTCCTCCAGCACCCTCTTTGCTTCTCCTTCACCTCCTGGTCCTACAGGACATTCACATGTTTCCCGCCCAGCAGGTGGAGGACTCCTGCCCAGCAGGTGACACCCAACTAAGTCATCACCCTGCTGCAGAGAAGGGGAAGGGCTGGCCTCCAGGGAAGGTTCAATGCCAGTTAGTCAAGAGAACATTCCAAAAGATGTGTTTTATTTTGACAGTGTCAAGTTAAAACTTTATTTCTACACAAACAAAATTAGTTTTCAAGTTACTCAATTAGGATCTTGGGATTTTTTTATTTAAATTTGTTGACCACATTCCCTCCCTTTTCTTGTAAATACCAGTTTTTAGCGTGCACAGTTGCTGAGCTGGATGGCCGCCCGATAAGTTACAGCCCCTTTCCCTGGGCGGGTGCCCTCCCCGAACAGTGAAATTTTATTAATTCCTTTATGCCCCCGTGCACCACGTGGTTGTCCTCAACTGCTTGACTGCAATGACAGAATGCCCCAGGCTGGGGGGGCGTGTAAATAATAGCAATTTATTCCTGACATTCCGGAGGGTGGAACCTCCAAGGTCACAGTGCCGCAGGTGGGTCCTGCCAAGGCCCCTTCCTGGTTCCTGAGGTGGCTTCTCGCCGAGTCCTCACCAGGTGGAGGGCAAGGGCACCAGGGCCTCTGGATACAGAAGCACGATATTTCCAGGTATGTTTGTACATACACACACTCATACACGTACACACTCACATAAACATTCACACACACACACATACATAAACATACACACACATACAATCTCACACATAAATATACACACTCATACACTTACATATACAATCTGACACATACACACATACCATCTCACACACGTATACAATCTCACACACATACAATCTCACACTCATACACTCACACACACGTACAATCTCACACACATACACACACACAAATATACACACACATAAATATACACACAGCCATACACATACAATCTCACACACATATACACACACATACTCATACATACAGTCACACACACAGACACAGACACTCAGACATACAATCTCACACATACACACATAAACATACTCGCACTCAGACACATACACACACATACAATCACACACACACACACTCGCACACGCAGACTTGAACAACACACGAGCTCTTTCTTCCTCCTTCCAGAGCAGCCCTCTCGAGATGACACTTCTCCAGCAGCCGCGAGGGAGGCTGGCAGCTTCTGAAATGGGTAAATGATGGTTTTTACACTAAGTGGTCTCGGGCGGAAGCAGGCTGCGGAGGGAAGGAAAGCCGGTGATAGGCGTGTTTAATAACAGAAGACGCAGTCCGTTTAACGCACCTTCTCATCCAGTAAGTGATTCTGTTCGTTTCGCTGTCTAATCGTTTGTTTACATGACACTGATGTTTAAACTGCGGTTGCAACTCAGTGGGCTGGGAATTCGAGTTCCTGAGTCACTGCCAGCAATTGTCGAATGAAAAAAGGAAAGGACGGGAATGTATAGAATGTACATAATAAAAATGTCAAAGTGCAGCGCACAGGAGAGGGGTTATGCGTGTGTGTGTGTTAGGTTCCTGTGTAAATGCATCTTGTGTTGTGCAACGACCCACTTCAGACGCCACGGCCAGG